ACTGCCGTGTCTCACTGGTAGTTCAGAGGCATACTGGGTGCTGCAAATAGGAACTGAAGGGGTGTACTTACTAAACCCATTACACCTGTGAGTGGTGATGTTTTCTGTCATTTTTAAGAGACAATACGGGGAGGGAGGGCAGATGTCAAAACACTTGTACAATTTTAAAATGTCACAATTAAACGTGAGCTGGTTTCCCACAAGTGTGCAATGATTGAATTTGAAAATCATAATCTCACGGTTCTATTCATGGAACATAATTTGAGAGATCAGCTCTGAGAAATGTTCCCTGAAAAAGTCTGAATTATGTTTTACATTTTATGAAAGACCGGGTTTGTTAACTGTTTTATTATTATTATTATTTTTTTTTGCATTTTAGGGAAGGGTCTACAAAGTGTTCAGGGTCTCACTACTAGATCAGACTTGTGATCCGTCTGTTTACAGCCTCCCACAAGTTGGGATCATAAGGGCGTACCACCATGCCCAGTCTCAATTGCCCTCTCAGTCTGCCCCTGGGGCAGGGCAAGCACTGGCAGGGCCAGAGATCCCCCCCCCCCCTTTAATCTTTTTTTTTTTTTTGGCAGAACCGGGGATTGAACTCAGGCCCTTGTGCTTGCCAGGGAAGCACTTATTCCACTGAGCCATCTCCCCGGCCCCTCCAGGAGCTTTAATCTGTTGAGCTATTTGGCCGGCCCATGTTACTGTTTTAAAGTCTGTTTCTACATCTCTGTTAGATGTCCAATGTCCAATATTCCTAGTTCATGTTCCTCAAAATCAAAGGATGAGGGGCTGGTGAGATGGCTCAGTGGTCTGGGGCACCTACTTAGAACAAGCTTAGCAAAGCACAGGGACCACGGTTCAATCCCCAGCACCACATGCCAGCCAGCCCCACCCCCTGGTGAGCTGGTCACACACACACAGACACACACACACACAAAATTAAAAAATCGAAGGATGAATGCTGATTACTAAGGAGGTTTAAGGGTAGGAAATTTTATTGAGGGAGATAGCTTCTGAGAGGGACATGAGACGGAGAAAGTGGGTTGCCAATGAGCCCTTCTTGGAGTAAGTTATGTAGAGCAAAATCATGAGGGGTACAATGTGGGATAAAACTATGATCAGTAAGATTACAAGTATAAGGGGCTGGGGAGATAGCTCATGGAATAAGTGTTTGCCTGGCAAGCGCAAGCTCCTGAGTTCAATCCCTGGTACCACAAAAAAAAAAAAAAAAAAAAAGTATAGGGCCAACCAGATAGCTCAGCAGACTAAAGCCCCTGCCTAGGCAGAGCACAACAGCTGGGGCCTGCCCCCCAGAGCGCGCTGAGATGGACACGGGGATTGAGACTGGGTGTGGTGGTGTGTGCCTGTTACCCCAGCACTTGGGAAGCTGAAAATAGGAGAATTACTGAGTCCAATCTACGTAGTGAGACCCTGTACACCATGTACTAAACACAAAAAATTAAGATTATAGGGATAGTTACTGGGGGCTGGCAGGTTAGCTCAGTTGTGTAAAGTGCCTTTCTTGAGCAAAATCAGTCAGGGGCAAGGACTGTGGTTCAATCCCCAGCGCCACATGGTGCACCAGACCCACCCTTAAGGAAGCCTGAGCCAGCCAAAAAAACCCAAACAAACCAAGTATAGCAACTTAGGTAATACTGATCTAATGGGGAAGCAGGTCATATAGCAAGTGTACATGGGACTAACGAGGACCTTTTTTTTTGCGGAACCGGGGATTGAATTCAGGCCCTTGAGCTTGCCAGGGAAGCACTTATTCCACTGAGCCATCTCCCTGGCCCAAACGAGGACCATTTTTTGAAAGAGATAGGTCAGGAGGCCCTGGTCGCCCACCTGGATGACTAATGCCTGTTTAGAATGTGGATCATTATTGCTTATCCCTTGGGGAGGTATATATGTGTAGTCATTCCATCTTTATCCTGAGGCCTGACCTTCAGTGGATGGCCGCCAGCCACAGTTGTAATGCATTTTTATCTTCAGATTCCTTTGAGGGCCTAGCCATCTCACTTCCTATATTTATACCTAACTTAGCTGTCTATAATATACACACCTCTGGTTAACGTGTTCTGCCAGTGCTATATGTATGACCTAAAAACTAAGTTAAAATGAAGCTGACTTCGTATCAGTGCGATCCGGACCCAGGTAGCAATGACATCCACACATCAGTAAATATCCTTGGGTGGACCTAGAGCAAGACCGTAGAACCAGGAAAGGATCGAGTGGGAGATCAGGTGACTTAGTTGTATAACAAGTATTTAAAAACCTT